TGCACTTTAGGCTAGGTGATCCCACACTACGTCTTTACTTTAGGCTTATTATACCAAAACTCAATACAGTTATACGGTTTCACAGCACCCCCTCACGGCCCCCTTGCACCCCCCCCCCCCTGTAAAATCGTAATGGGCAGACAGTATCGAACTATTCTATCTGGATAAATGCATTTTGGCTTTAATAGCTCTTCCAATTTCGAGAAATCAAGCGTGACGTGACGCACACACGGACATTTATATAGGTTAGATGTTGTGACGTCACTCCTGGAAATATACAACAAATTTATTGATGTAGGTAGCAATAAATATCCTTATGTAGTGGATATAGAATGAAAAAATTTTTGAGTAATGTAAAATGTGAGTGTTGCCATAAGCAGCATGACTTATAAACGGTAGTTGACATTGTAGGTGTAGAAAACCTGGACGTAAACTGTAGATGTATATATTTTATATGTCACACAAAACAAACTGTAACAGGACTGCACGTAAATAATAAACATAGATATCACGTTTTGCATAAATTTTCTATAAAACAAAACTGAGGAATAGGCATTATTTGGCTTTATTTAGAATTAATGAATATGTGTCTTCCAGATTGGTTTGTTTTGATTAGTTTAAGATTATTTCGACGTAGATTAAATTAGCACTCATTTCTGTAGATGAAACTTAGATCAAATCTTAGACCAGAATGATCATGAATATATAAATTTCTTCTGAAATACGTAACACGGTGTAAATAGAAAATGCATCTTTAATTTTATTTTCAAAGGTTATTTCATGTGGTCTCATTTAGAAGCGCCTATTTAACACCACGCGATGTTACTACGTCTTATTTTCATACTAAAGTTTAATTATGAATTTACATTTTTGTAGTATAATGTGAAAATATTACATGTTAATGTGAAACGTACAATAAATTCCACAATACAAATAAATAAACCACTGGAAATAATTTAATGTTGTATAGGTTTATATTGTTAGACAGGTTCGTGTGGATTCTTTAATAAAAAGAAAATCATAGTCGTATTCACTTAACGATAGCGAAAATGTTTTATTTCTGCATCTACAAGTTTCACATTTTACGATAGGCCCAATTTTACAAAAAAAAAACAAAAAAAAACTGTTGTATACTAACTTGTATACTTTATGTCCAAACACACTCGGTATGCACGAAGCTTAGGTAATATACAGACCGGCTAAAGATACGCTAACTCAGTAATCTACCTGCAACTGCAACAGACTCACCAATCAATAGTCACATGTTTTTTGCCTAATGAGTATTTTATATAATTTTATTCGCGTCATTGAACCACGCGTTCATTACGTGACGTCAGAATCTCGTTTATCCTACAACATTGGTTTCTCTCTCAAGTGAAAGGGTTTGGTTAAAGGTATTTCATGTTTTCTAAGATTGAAAACATTTATTAGTTTTTCTATAAATTAGGAACCTTTACTTAGCAAATACCAGGTCATGTGGCTAGAAGTGAATTAGCGTAACTTGTATTTTAACTTTTATATATGATGCGTGTGTTTTCTTATAGCAAAGCTACATTGGGCTATCTGCTGTATCCACCGAGGGGTATCGAACCCATGATTTTAGCATTGTAAATCCCAAGACTTATCGCTGTCCCACCGAGGGACGTTATGTATGATAGTAGTGTATGAAGTTAAAAAGCATTAGTTTGAAGAAACTCTTATGATGATTTTCAGAAGATGTAAATATATTGTTTTAAGTTTTATTTTCAATGTTTTAATTTTGATGTTTGTTAGAGGCGCATGATGTTATGATATGGAAAATCTGTGTAGTGAGTAGAAGATGAGTGTAGTATAAAGACGAGTAAAGTGAAGCAGTGAATAAATGATTAATGAATGAGCAGTTAGTGAGTGATTCAGTTCAATGTTAGTAGTGAGAGTTATGGCGTCTATTCAATTACCCGATCGATTAGCGAGGACAATTCTGTAAGTAAGTTTGTTTGTGAGGTAAGCATAACTATGTCTCCCAGTATATGTTCAAACTAATGTGAAAGTGAATATAGCTTGTAGCAAAAGTTATCGAAAAATAAATAAATTCATTATTGTTATTTTGGTGAAAATAAAATGGAACTTGATTAAACTTCAAGATGATAACCTGCGCAAGAAGTGAGATTGAAACTTTCCAGGAAGTGGTAAAACAATTAAAAGAAAGTTAAGAAGAAAGAGACGGAAAATTAAAAGAAGAAATTGACGGGAAATTAAAAGAAGGTCAAAAAGAAAGACAGAAAATGAGAAGAACACCGCAGGAATTTAAGAGTTAAAAGAAAGAGATATAATACTTTTAGAAGAATTAAAAATGAAAATCAACCTGATTGAAGAATTGTAGAAAGACTGTAATGACAAAATTGAGTAAGTACAAAAAAAGAGATAATTTAGGTACAAAAGAACGCCAGTGACAGAATAAAACATTTGGTAAATTTCAAGATTAAACAAATCCATCATTTTCTGAATGTGCTCAATAATATTAACATAAAACATCATTTACTACAAAATATGTAGTAGGATAACCTATTTGGTCTACATCTATTACTACTACTTCAGTGCCATATCTTTTACTGCAGGAACTTTGTGAACTACTCCAGCTATGTCACTACCAAATCTAGTTCCAGAATTTATGTGGCCAGTTCACCAATGGATTATGATGGAAAGATACCATGGGATGCATAACTAACTCAGTTTGAAACAATTTCCATAGCTATTAATTTTCCTGCCCATTTAAAAAAACCAGCTTTAATAATATTAAATAACCTTCAAACTGGGAGCCACAACATTTATAAAACATCAGTAACTGTCTTACCAACAGGTTCGAAGCAAAAAGAAAGTTCTGGATATTTGGTTCAGAATAATGAAGAGACTATACTAAGCTAACCAGACATTGCAAAAATGGGATGAAGTTCAGCTAATAATATTCCATTTGCCCCAAGTGAGATAAGAAGCTCCTTATTTGAGGAAAACTGTCCATGTGTCTGTGAGTTTATTGGTGGAAAACCTTTCACATGTTGATTGAATCTGGTTCTACAGCTATAATTGTGTGTCCAGAAATGAAGAAAGAAGAGGAACTGATGCAAAAAGCACAGGCGGACATAAAGTTCCAACAAAGAGAAAGCTGGAAGTTCCTCTTATTTAGGAAACTTCTTTACACATCCTGATGTGGGTAGTTCACATCTAGGAAGAGTTCATATTGGGAACTAACTTCATTTGGAGACATTGATGCAAGTTAATGTAGCACTGACCCTTAAAACTGGGCAAACTTACATGCTGAGGAAACTGTTAAACACTTCTTATAATCTTCAAGTTGAGTACAAAACAAGTATGTATATGTCATACACATAATTAATGTGGTAGGGATAAAAAAATACATAACATAAATTGTTTTAACACCATAACTTTGCTTAGGAATGATAAAACCATGAAAATTGATACTCATGCTCTTTGTGAACATCCTCATAACTTGAATTAAAAATTTTGCAATGTTATCGAGCTATGAGCAATTAATTTTAATTAATGCCTTTGTTAGTGATAATCAGACTCATAACAAGACAATTGATAAAGATTTTTGAATTTTGAAAAATGCAAGCTCCTGAAGAATTTAATAACAAGTGTGCTAAGTTTCATGCTGATATTGGCTTTAATGATGAAGTTATCATGCTAATAAGTGGGTGACCCCATTGAAGAATGGGTTTGAGAAAATAGCCATTAAGATTTTTTTTGCACTTAAATGTCAGTAAGCTTTTAGTAAATATGTGTATTTACCACATTTAACACTGTTTCCTCAGCATGTAAATTTGCCTGGTTTTAAGGGTCACTGCTACCTTAAGCTAGCTTCAAATAGCTGACCAGTAATTCCCTGTCACCATGTGTCAATTATTAGACCAGAAGTTGACAACAAGGAAGGTGGACATTGTACCATCAAGAAGTGACCTACTCATACCAGAAGTTATTAGAAATAAATCTATATCTAATAACTGGGGGGTGGAATGAAACACTTTTGCAGGACCTTGAGAATTTCTGGTTGGAATAGCTCTTGTGGAACTGAAGAATAAAGAGGTTATGAATGACTACCAGGGAAAAGTTGCTATGATTTTGATAAGAATGGATTTCATTGAAGTAACAGGGTATGGCTGTAGAATCCCCACCACAAGAAAGGATTAACTCCAAAGTTAAGTAGACATTGGTAAAGATCATACAGTATACTTAAAACAATCAATGATGTGGCTTACACAATCCAGAAGGATAGGCAGTCCAAGTCAAAGGTCATCTGTTGTGGTCACCTTTGGAAGTACATTTGTTAAAAAAAAGGCCAACTGGGTAACTCCTGTAAATAATTTGTTACAGGAAATTCAATCTGTAGAAGATTGAGGGTTCCTGTCAAGACTACTTCCAGAGGATCACAAAGGATAGAGCCACCAGTGGATGTGCCAGACAACCTACTCAGTGACAGAACAGTAAGTGGAATACCAGATGCACACCATAACCCTCAAAAAAGAAAACCACCAAAACGAAATTGGTGAATGGACACTTCAGTATACTGTTTTATTTGTGTATTAGGATTTTTCAAGGGACTTCACTATTCAAGCAGGGACAGTGTTGTAAGCTTTATTTTCAATGTATTAATTTAGATGTTTGCTAGAGGGTGCATGACATTATGACCTGGAGAATTCATATAGTGAGTAGAAGGTGAGTATGGTATAAATATTAGTAAAGTGAAGCAGTGAATAAGTGAGAAATGAATGAGTGGTTAATGAGTGATTCTGTTTTACATTAGTAGTGAAAGCTATCACATTTATTCAATTACTCAATTGATTAGTGGGCAAATTCTGTAAGTTTGTTTGGGAATTAGGTATATATTTAGTCTTGAAATATTTCAATATTTTTTCAAAATTATTCAAGTTCTTGTATTTTTTTAGTGTGAAAGTTTGGAAGTTAAACAAAGATGGGCATCCCGTTTGTTGGGCAAGCTCAGGAAGGACATAGCTCAGGAATGCAGGGAAGATTTTGTTCTGGGTGTAACAGGGAAGAAACGAGCAACTTGTGTGTTGAGCAATCCAGACCAGAAGGGAAAGATGAGGAGGATAGACTGTTTACGACAAGCAGACAAAGTAAGATCATAATATTGTAAATCAGTAAAAATAATAATAATGTTTGTTAAGAGATATGATTATTTGTACTGTCTAGTCTTTGTAAATTTGGTATTAAATGCAGTTACCGATCAAAAAATATATACTTCTAAGGATATTTCAATTTGCATTCTTGTTAGAAAAAATGCCAAATGACAAGTCATTGAAATTTTGAAGAACAAAAATAAACTTTTTTAGACTTTTTTTAAACCTTATTGTTGGCATCTCTTCTTAAAATAAGTAATTTGGTACCATTGCAGGGCATTTCAATAATAACTTAAAATAGCTTTCCGTAAAATAATCTGTAGTATTGAACTTTGGTTCATGTTAATTAGTACTTTGCTAACAGATGTACTCATTCAATGCAAGGATGGCTATAGGGGCTTGGGGGTTTATTGAGGGTGATATAGAGGGGGGTCATATCCAAATTATGCTCCCCATATCACTCTCTGGGGGGTGCACTAAGGGATTGTGCCAGGTTTGGTAACAATCGTTCCACCAGTTTGTCAGTTATAAGTGGACACAACACTGACTTTTGTCAAATAATGGTTTACATCATGAACATAGGCTTTAGGTGTTAGCTTTGCAATGCCTTATGATTTAAACTTTGATTTAGCTGCTGGTTATGTGATATAGACATAAGTAGTGGTTGTGTATGATATACACTTGGATTTAGCTGGTATTCCTCCATGCTATAAAATTATAGAATTAGCTTTTAGTTTTTTATTGTAGCAACTTAGATTTTGCTGATAGTTTTCTATTTGTATGAATATAGACTTAACTGGTTGTTTTTCTTTTATATAAATACAGATTTAGCTGGTTAGTTTTCTATTGTATGGATATAGATTTATGTGATAGTTCTGTATGGCATAAACATAGATTTAGTTTATTAGTTTTCTTTTGTATTAGAGTAGATTTACTGCTAGATCTGTAGTTTTGAATTCATACTTAGTTGGTAGTTTTTTGTTGTATGAACTAAGACTTAGTTTGACATTATAGCAGTTCTGTATTGGGGGACCTAAGATTGTCTCCTGAGTTTGTGTGTTACAAACCTGGACATAGTTCATTGTTATGATTGTTAGTCATGAACTTGAATTTAGCTGACAGCTGTAAAAACACTAAAAGATAATAAATTTTATATGATGCTTAAAGGTTTGGAGGCTGGATCTTGTAATGGTGATCCTCTTTAAGGCTATTCCTCTTGAAAGCACTGATGGTGAAAGGTTAGAAAAGTCTGCAGAGTGCCTCCACCCAAGTCTTTGTGTTAACCCCTTCCACATCAATGTCTCCGTCCGTGAGCTTGACCTTTACTTGGCCAACTTTATTTTCAGTCATGGTAAGCCAAAGCCAGAATTTAAAACTGAAGTTAATACAGGAAAATGTTTAAAATATCTATACTTTGGAAGTTGTAGGTTGTCAAAATATCTATTATTGTTAATAAAATGATTTTATTCAGTACATATTTGTTGAATGTGATTCCCCAAAAAATACTGTCAACTACTACTTTGCTTAAACATAAAAAAAAACAACTAAAAACTGATTAACTAAGCTCCTAAGATTTTGTATTTACTTAGGTAGTTACAAAATGTGTAACAACATTGTTAAAATGTATCATGTAACAGACTGAGCAGTTAAAGCACATTAACACAAATACTTTCATATGGGTGGCTCTTTGTGCTAGTAATTACTGATCATAGTATTCATACCTCATTGAAAAAAATGTAGAAAAAGTGAACATTTTCTAAAAAACATTTTTGTAGGAAATACTACATAGGAAAAGTGTTGGGATTGTGTTGATATATGCTTTAATGTTTTTATATATTAAAAGTGGTACCCTTTATTGAAAAAAATATTTTTTTTAAGAACTCCATTTTTTAGTACTAAATTTACAAATTACATCAATAAAGATTAATCAAACCCTCACTTACAGTCCTAGTGAAAGTTGTGTTCTTGTTGTGAAGAGAGTACTTTTAGTTAAAATTGTGTTATGTGATAAAGAAATGGTTGTTGCACATACTGTTCTAATTGTCTGAATCTTGAATACCTCAAGTGTGAACTTTTTTTATGTATGTTTGTTTGTGGTGCCGTTCAATAGATGGAGCCTCATTATATTTATTATTTCAGTCACATACATAGATACATACTTTGTCCATTATAGTAAGATGTATTTGTGTAAACTTTTTCTAATCCAGTTTCTGTTTTCACCATAGTACAAACATCTGTTCCTGTTACATGCTGTGTTAAAGAATTATTACCAGTATGAAGCAGGAACTTCTCTTTTTTTTTTCTTTCAACTGTTGAGAATAAAAAATGAAAAACATTATGGCCATATAGTGGCAGAATAGTCTTTCTTTTTGGCTATTTTTGAACAGCAAGCATGAAAAACACCTCGTACAGCAAGAATAACTTCTACCCTTAATAAATTACCTTTAGTAAGATTACATATATAAAAGTATCTATGCTCTTCTGGTATACTGTTGTTACTGAACTCATCTTAAAGATCCGTTTATGGACTGTTTGATAGTAACAAGGCATTTAAGAGTTGTTTGTTGAATTCTGTGAAAAATTAATCAAGGGTTATCTGTGCTAGATGTCCCTAATCTTGAAGTAATAGGTTAGAGAAAAGGCAGCTGGTCACCTAACTCTTGGGCTGCTCTTTACCAGTAATTAGTGGGATTGACTGTCACATTATAATGCCCCTATGGCTGAAAGGGCGAGTGTGTTCTGTGATGGGTTTTGATCCATGACCTGTTGATTGTGAGTCAAACATCTTAACCACCAGGCTATGAACTGGTATTCAACTACACATAGCTAAAAGAGTGTTGTATATTAAAAGAACAGATGTACAACATGTTTATAATTATCTCTATTACATCTGTCTTGATGAATTTTGTTTGTATGTATAAAATTACGTGTTTTATGTTCACGTATTCTTAAAATTGGTAAATCATGTGTATAGGTGTGTGTGTGTGTGTGTGTATGTAAAGCAACTGTGCTTTACAAAAACCTAATTTGCTTTTGACTCTTATGTTTACTTTGATAATGGATCATATGTATATATGTATATTTAAAAAAAATCTTAACCTGTTTTATAATGTGTCTACTTAAGTTTTATGAATAACGTGTGTGTGTTTATGTACAATAACCATGTTTTAACAAAGTAATCTGCTTTGTGCCCATATTTATGTAAGTTTGGTGGACTGTATGTTTGTTTGTGCATTTAAATGTAAAAATTATCATGTTTTTAAATAGTTAATCTGTTTCATAATTGCACGTCTATTTACCCAAAGAACATTATTTTTCAAAGTATGTTTTATAGTCGAACATCTAATATTATTATTAATTATTTAAATGTGGTTCTTCCCTGAGAATACTAATATATAAAACAAGTTAAATCATATTTTATGTTTAAAAGCTTCACGCACATTAACTGGCTAATTTCTGCATGCATCAGATGATATTTATATGGCACTGACAGTTAATGTTTTCTTTGACTTGTTCTGTGACTTATTTTATCAGATAACTTGCTATTCATACCACCCATTCTCTGAGTTAGTTTATAAAATAACTTACTATTCATACCACTCATTTTTTGAATAGTTTATAAAATAACTTGCTATTCATACCACCCATTCTCTGAGTTAGTTTATAAAATAACTTACTATTCATACCACTCATTTTTTGAATAGTTTATAAAATACTGTTTCTATCATCTATCTTTTTTTGGTAGTTTGTGAAATAGCTTACAATTTATATGAATTTTTTTCTGTAATAACTTACAAAATAATTTAATGTTCTTTTTTAACTTTCATCCTCTGTGTTTGTTTATGAAATATTTTGTTTTTATAACTGAACATCTATTTTAACTTATAAAATATTTATTTCACTTTTTCTTTCACCATTCTTTTGTCCATACTGAAGATATAAATCTAGGTTAATGGCATGTAGTAGTAAGCAGTTGTTATTGAGCTCAGGTACCAAACCTTCTTAATCAGCAGTACTCTAAAGTTGTTACCCACTCCAGTATTAAAAGTTATGTGAAATGGCTACAGAAAAAGGCTGGTTCCCTAGTGTATCTACAAAAACAGGGTAGCTTTTAAAGACAGCCATTTGTCTTATCTGTGTAATCTTATGCAGTTGCTTATTGAGTGGCAATTTTTTCTTTTCTTTGTGACTGAACAAAAAAGACCCCCCATTGTCTAATGGGTTTGAATGCTAGCCAGCAAGTAGGTCTTATGGGTGATCATCAAAAACTTGTGTTCTTTCTGTACACTCTGTGAAATATTGATTCATGGATAGCAATGGAAAATTGGTTATAATTACTGAATCTTTATGGATATGAATAAATTTGTATGTGATGCTAGTTTCTATACTTCTGTTTATCATAATGTGTAATAACTATTGAAAATCAAACCAGCTTTACATAAATGGTAATTGTGAAGTAATGTAAAGAGTGGGGATTATGGAAATAGCAAAATAACCTTGTTTATGGCTGTTTTTATGCACCAATTTAATACAGTTTTCTTCAGGTGTAGAATATTTTGCCACTTAAATATAGTATAAAACTTGAAATTGATTGCATTTGAGTGTAGTGCTATCAAAACAGTTACTTTTAAAAAAGTGAATGAAACGTTTCTTCTTAAAGAGAATACAAAGGTTAGAGTGGAATTCAGTGATTTGAGCCATGTGTGTGTGTGTGCTTGTAAATTGTGCATGCATGTATAAACTGTATATATGTTAGTGTAGAAGTATGTATATTTTGTAAGGCCAGGGTGTAAGGCAAGATTGAGAAAATCAAAACAATGGTTGAAGTTGATATAGTTTTATTTTGTTTAACCAAATGTTAAAATACAACAAAACAATTAATTAACTATTTTTAGAAAAAAAATATATTATGAATTACATTCATGGGGTGGAAAAATTTTAATCATATTTATGAAATTTTGTTCATAGGAAAAAATATTGACAGAACTTGTATTTTGGTGTATCAAACTTAGAAAAGTAGTGATATCAAAACATTACTGGGTGTTCTGTCTTCTTTCATCTGATCAAATAAGTATAGTCTATAACAGATTTTTTGTGGTTTTAAATGTATTTATACATACAGGAGCTACAATCTTGTCTTGAATGTTGCATACATGCACATGTTTATTTTTCTTGCTTTAGAAACTTTGAGTGGTTTACGAGAAGGTGTTTGTGATACTGAACAAGATGAAGAAAGAGGTAAGTGACTTGGTTTTCTCTAAAGAGATCCAGTGATTTTTCATTTAAACTGAACTTGATACTGCAGAAGACTGTAGTTACCATTACTAACTTGATACCGCAGAAGACTGTAGTTACCGTTACTAACTAATACCGCAGAAGACTGTAGTTACCATTACTAACTTAATAGTGCAGAAGGCTGTAGTTACCATTACTAACTTGATACCGCAGAAGACTGTAGTTACCGTTACTAACTAATACCACAGAAGACTGTAGTTACCGTTACTAACTTAATACTGCAGAAGGCTGTAGTTACCGTTACTAACTTAATAGTGCAGAAGGCTGTAGTTACCGTTACTAACTTAATAGTGCAGAAGGCTGTAGTTACCGTTACTAACTTAATACTGCAGAAGGCTGTAGTTACTGTTACTAACTTAATAGTGCAGAGGGCTGTAGTTACCATTACTAACTTAATACTGCAGAAGACTTTAGTTACCATTACTAACTTAATATTGTAGAAGATTTTAGCTATCACTTCTCTAGCAAAATGATTGTTTAAAGAAAATAAAAATGTTTCTTCTTTTTCATGAATACCTGAGAAACTTAAAACTTTTTGATCAAGTAGTTACAGTAACATTTTACACACAGTAAATCATGGTAGTAAGATTTATTCATTTACTTTAAAATACAATAAGTCTGATTAGGACTTTATAACACACTGATATGCAAGATTTAATATTTTTTTAAACTTTTCTTGTAACTTATCTCTTACCAACTGAATTCTCAGATTGATGCTGGAATTGTATTCAATGAATGTACTTTTCAGCAATAAGTATTTAATATTAAGTTTTTTATTACACTACTCTCTTCAGTAAGTATTAAATCTCAGATTGATGATGTAGTTTTTATGTTACTAAGAAAGTTCTCTTCAGTAAAATTAAATGCAGATTGGTCTTTTGGTTTTTACATAACCACCACACTTCCCTGCAATACTTATGAAATCTCATGGTTTTGCTTTAACAGTACTAAAACAATCCTTTTGATAACTATAAAATCTCAGGTTTATGGGTTACTTTTTACTTTACTGAAACTCTCTTCTGTAATAGCTGTTAAACTTGATTATAAAGAAATTGATTATTACATTAAAAATTCAAGAAAACACTCCTCTATAACTGATAATATCTTTTATTTGTGGTTTAGTTTTCTTCTCTCTTCAACAATAGCTGTTATATCTTAGATTGATAGTTTAGTTTTTACAGTGGCTGTTATATCTATTATATATAATTTGATATTTACATTGTTAAAGCACTTGTCATCAGTGACTGTTCTATGAGCCCTTTATGAGATGGTTTTATTTTTCCAATTCTCTCCTCAACAGTGATTATTACGTATTTTATTTATGGTTTAATATCATGTCATTCTTTCTCTCTCAGTAATGGGTATTACATCTCCTTTTATGGTTTAATTTTATCTCAGTATTTCTCTCCTCAACAGTGGCTGTTATATCTCTTATTCATGGTTAGTTGTATTTTCGATATTCTCTCCTTAGCATTATCTGTTATGTTTTTTATTTAAGATTTTCTCTTATCTCCTTTATGATTTTTCCTTTATCTCAGTCATTCTCTTCCCAACAGTGGCTTTATATCACTTATTTATCATTTTATTTTGGTAATTCTTTCCTCAGTGGTGGCTATTATATCCTATTTATTTAGTTTTATTTCATTCTAACCTGAGTACTGGCTCTTATGTCTGTTATTTATGGTTTAGTTTTATCTCATTCATACTCTCTTTACCATTTTATATTTTATCTCTCATTTATGAATTAATTTTAACTCAGTCACTCTCTTCTTGGCTGTTATATTTATTATAGATGCTTTCATTTTATCTCGGCTATTCTTTGTAAAACTACATCATTAACTCAAAACATAACAGCTACTGATAAACAGATTTTACCTTTTTTTTTTTTTTTCAATGACTCTTCACTCTCACTCTCTGTAACTTTACCCACTTAGGCAAGAAGCCAAGACTCTAGCCCTGAGGCTTGTTGAATTTTTTATAGATTTATTTTTGTCTTACTTTCTTAAATGTTTAGAGGTTCATGACCACTTGCAGGTTATTACCACTAATGCTGGCATTCTTACAAGTGATGACGTTCCATTACCTTTTTTACATTACCAGTTCTGAACACTATCTCATTAAAAAGATACTGTTATTAGAAAATTAATAAAACAAAGAAGTACTGTTGATTTATACTATGAGCTGTTGAATGGGTTTAATAATTTTTGAGCACTTACTAATTTGTATGAGAAAATGTAATTAAAATTTGTGATAAAATAGAAAATGAAAAATAACTTTCGGTAAGAGTTAAAAGTAAGCAATTCAGTATTTAAAAAGTGCAGGTAAGTTTATTAAAACATTGACTACAATGCTAGGCTTAATAAAGTGTAAGTCATTTTCATCGCACTTTAATAATTCAAAACATGACGAGTCAGTTTTTACTTGAAATTCATTTAGACTTTTAATAAATTTTCATATATATATATTTAAACATTGTTTCTTATTTTTGGGAACTTTATACATGATGTCAGTAAAGTTTAACTTTTCATAATAGCTTATGTTTCTAGTTATATAAAACTGGTAATGCGTAAAATATTGACCAGCTTTAAACTAATATTAATGTTTGTACAATCACCTTTTTTTTATTTTGTGTTTTGTATTACTAAAACAAAATTGTATATGACATATTGAAAGTCCAAACCAAGGGGGTTTCAGCTAAAGATAATAAAGTATACATCAAACTATAACATCCAATAATAATCTTATTTTATAAATGTTATTTATTAATATAATGTTATTTGTAGAATTATGTAGAAAGAGAAAAAAATAATGATTATAACTTAACAGAACAAAGAATTAAATCTTATTAATATATATACTTT